GTGTGATAAAAGCACTTGTGTACAAGGGTTGATTTATTTATTAAATATTTATTATGGGGCATAGATCAGCATAAGAAGGATAAAATACAATTAGTTTAAAAGCTAAAAAATATAAAATGAACAAAGTTAAAAACATTATTTGTACATATAAATATTTTTTTTTTCTTAAAAACTTATAAGCGATTTTTGAGTGACTCTGGAAGCTATGCATCCATATAAAAAGATATATCGTTAAAAGCAAAGCTAAAAAATAAAACAAAGGTAAAAAGCTAAAAAAAAGTGGAGGGGCCATTCTCAAACCACCAATCACCCCCACAGTTGCATTCATTAATTAATTAAATTTGCATTAATTGATTAATTAATTAATTAAATACACAATGCATGAATGAAACTGCCTTGCAACTTTTAGGATCCTGGTAAGTATTTTTATTGTAAAAAAAAATCATAGAAAATGCAAGAATAGAGAAATTCAAAAGGCCACTCCTATTATTAACCCCATCCAAGGGCACTTGTTTGCTATGTTACTTCAGCATGGAAAGACTTCTTTTGAGTAGGTTACTGATTTTTTAAAAAAAGAAATGCGGGCATCATCTGTTCAAGATTATAGTCCCTCAGAAAGCACCTTCTATCCCAGTTGGAGGAAGAGAAGTTGCTAAATGCTAACAGCCAGGCAGATACTACAAACTGATTCCAGCTGTTCTGCCTGCTGAAAAGGCAGGCACATATTTTCAGTACAGAAATTGAATTCATGTTAGCGTTGACTTTGCAATGTTCTTTGGGAGCAATTAATAAGTAATTTGGGGAACAGAGGAATCATTACAGGCTTTTTCCCCTTTTTCTTTTAGTTTCTAACCTGCTTAATAAAAGCTTCACCCAATCCTCAGTGACCAGCATATATATTATGGGAAGACAAAGTGGCTATATAGGTACATGGACCAACTTGTTCTGGAGACCTACTTATAAGCTTTGAATGAGGTTGCATTTCCCTAGACAGTTCCAGTGTGCAATTGTGATGTGTGTGGGAGGGGGGGTTGTACTCACAGCTTCTACTTGAGGATAACTGTGGCCAAAAGTCTTTGCAGAGATTCACCCAATTAGATTTCCTATATTGAGAGGCCCTATTCACAACCAGTCATAACTTATATCAACTACAGTACCACAATGCACACTACATGGAACTGTCCTTGAGGACCACTCAAAAGGTAGAACTGGTCCAGAATGCAACAGTATGCATAATTAAAGCATGCCAAGTCTGTCCTTGTGCTACTACATGAGTTATATTAGTTAGTGCAATTCTAGGTCCTGGTTATCGTCTATAAATGACACAGGGCCTAGATATTTGCAAGACTGCCTATCTCCCATTGTATCTGCCCATCCAGTAAGATCAGACTAAGCTGATATACCACAGATCCCATCTATTAAGTAGCAACATCTTATGGGGCCTAGGTTCTCTATTGTTCTGCTTCCCTGTGAAACACCATGCTCCCCTCAAATTCACACAGCCCATTCTTGGCTGCCTGCAAGAGAGGGCTGAAGACCTGGCTATTTCCAAAAGCATCAGCTGAGCATGTTAATGCAGTGGTGTCCAACCTTGGCAACTTTATGTGGACCTCAACTTCCAGAATTCCCCAGCCAGCACGGGTTGCCAAAGTTGGGCATTCCTGTATTAGGGGTAGCCACCAATAAGAGTTGAGTATATTCAAGTGTTCTTGTTTTCCCCCCTGCCATGGCTCTGAAGGCCTTGTTTTAAATGTTATTTGCTTTTAACCCATTAATCACCCAAAGCTATGCATCAGTAGGTGACTATACAATTTGAAATTATAAAATAAATAAAATTATAAATAAATAAAATTTATATAAAGAGTTTGGAAATATAGGGTTTTACTTTCATGTACATGGGACTTCTGAGTTATTCTGTGACATAAATATACTTCTGATGAACATTAGCCAAAAGGGCTTTAGAATGTTTTAATAATAAGAGCAGTATCCTCCTATTTAGTATTTTTCAAATTCATTGAAACCAAGTCAGCCAATAGACTCTAGGCTAGGCTGAACTAAAGTTACTACAGATAGTCCTCAACTTACGATCACAATTGAGCCCAAGATTTCTGTTGCTGAGACATTTGTTAAGTGAGTTTTGCCCCATTTTATGACCATTTTTGTCTCGGTTGTTAAGTGAATCACTGCAGTTGTTAAGTCAGTAACCCAGTTGTTAAGTGAATCTTGCTTCCCCGTTGACTTTGCTTGTCAGAAGGTCGCAAAAGGGGGTCACATGACCTTGGGATGCAGCAACGGCCATAAATATGAACCAGTTGCCAAGCCTCAAAATTTTGATCATGGGGGTCCTGCAGAGATCCTAACTGTGAAAAACAGTCATAAGTCATTTTTTTCAGTGCCATTGTAATATTGAAGGGTTGCTAAATGAACTGTTGTAAGTCAAGGACTACCTGTACTACACTAAGCAAGAAAACTGTAACCATATTTTCCAGTAAGCATTAGTCTGCTCAACCCTTGTAACACACATCCCAGCCTTCAAGACGGGGATATCTGCAATAGGAGATCAAAAAAGATAGTAGATTTCAATTATAGGGTGGAGCCAGCATCTTGACTTTTTTGACACCCCCCCCCCCATAGCCCCACTTCATGTTAATATAAAGAAATTAGGTGGATACAATTGCATATGGAATTCAAATTGACTTACAATCTTGTGTGTGTTTGTGTATACATGCATACATACATACATACATACATACACACATACATACACACACACACACACACACACACACACACACACACAGAGTATATCATATACATATAGCATTGCAAGGTTTCTAATTTTATTAAGTCCCTGTTAATTTTTAATGATTTTATATTGCTGTTGTTATTGTATTGTAAGCTGCTCAGTATCACTTTGGATAGTAAGATGAGCTGCACCTAAATTTAATAAATAAGTAAATAAACAACATTCATTGATTTACATATCTATCTATAGATAAGAGCAAAAAGCAATTAAACAAGCATTTTCAAGAGAAGAAACTACCCTGATTCTAAAAAATGACCTCTTGGGATTAGTCGCAAAAGGTTTGAATGTTCTGCCAGTTCCCTTTTGTTTTGAATTATGCTATCCTCATGGGAAATAGTCTTCAAAACATGTAATTAAATACTGTATAATGAACAAAATAGGTACTGTTTAGGTACTGTTCTAAAGATAGAAAATATATCGCTCCTAAAAATCTCTTTACAAACTGTTTATCAACACTAAAGTACCGGTTGCTGTAGTTTCACAGCAAGTTTGTTGAAAACTTTATTTCATATTTTATTGAAACTGAAATTATCCCCAGCTAATTAAGCAAAGCATAAAAATACTATAATAAAAATAAGGCTCAATGAACTCAATGGGAATTGTTTTAACTAAGTGAGCAGAAGATTGATCCTATTCATAAAATTCATGAATTTGGAATACAGAGTACCGAATTCATATTCTGTTTTGTGGCATACAGATCTATTCCTGTCAGCCATGTGAATGTTACAAAGCTAGCATACTGTGGACACTTTTCCCTGTTTGCTTCCATAGGCGCTTCTGCTATGCATTTCCAGGATGACCACAGGCTAAAGAAAACAGGGATGTCATACATCACTGCAGGATGCACACATAATATCAGCTGCTAATCCATATCTCAACATCTCTTTGCATCTGGTCCCCAGTATTTTTTCCTGTAGCCTGATAAATTTAACAAAAAGTACTTTTCCAAGCTTAACCAGTAAATGGTCAGAAAAGATCCTTCTGCCTTAATTAACCCAGCTAATTGCTATTAGATATTGCACAATAGGTATTAGATATTGCACAATAGGTATACCAGATCTTTATTATGTTTCAGTTGCCTTTATTCAGGTTTGCTTTCTTAAACTGCTATTAGTACTATTAGTATTATGTAATATTTACTATGTAATATTTACTATGTAAATATTATACTATATACACAGAGAGAGAGAGAGAGAGAGAGATTTACACACACATATATATATATTTACACACACACACACACACACACACACACACATATATATATATATATTTACACACACATATATATATTTACACACACACACACACACACACACACACAGAGTATATATATATATATATATATATGTATCAGCAGTCGGTGATGGATTAAAGGAAGAAGGATATTGATGGCCTTGCCTGCATCCAATACACAGCATTTGTAGTTTTAGAAATTAAATTCCCCCTCCCATCAATACCAGAGCTCATCTCATTAGCAGCGCGGATGGTTAACTGTTACATCGGAAGATTGATGGGATATTTTAGAATGCAATCAGCGCACTATACCACTAAAGAGGCAGGCATGCCAAGTGGCACAGGACAGACAAGAATTTGCCAGGGGTTTCTTAATTGCGGGGTGTGTGTGAAGGTTGATTCAGGACCGCGCGAGAGTCCAGTCCCTTTTCAAGCAAGAATTCCCAAAGAGCAGTTGTTGCCCGAACGAAAAGCAGCTTTTAAAAAGCCTCAAGCGCGATGCCACGAATGTCACTATTTCCATCCAAGCCGCCGCAATGCTTGCACGGGGAGAAAGAGGAGGAGGGAAGCAAAAGAAGAAGAAGAAAAAATAACCATCCTCCCAAGCAGCCAGAGGCGACACTGCAAGGAGGGTCGTTCTCCTGACCCTCAAAAGTCTCGGGAAACTCCTCGGCAGCCAGGAAAAAAAACCCCGTCACGGGAGCAGCCCCACTGGCGGGAGAACGACCGGACGGCGGCGAAAAGGCGCAAGAGGGAGGGGGGGATTTAAAGGAAGGGTCCCGACGCTCGCCTTATAGCCCTCTCCGAGCTCTGGGGTTGCAGCCGCCGCCGCCGCCGCCTCTCGCCATTCCCTCGGCCGGAGTCGGAGCGCGCGCAGCCCTGCCATGCGGGACTCCCCGCAAACCCCTCGCTTATTTCTCTCCCCCTACCCGCCGCCACCAACGCTCCGCGCACTTACCGGATTTCGGGGGATATCGGTAGAGGGAATTGGACGGGATATCCACCTCTTCCACTCCGGCGTTCTGCCGGCTGGTGAGCGCTCCCATGCTTCAGGCGCGGCGGCAGCGGGCATCCGGGGTGGCGGAAGAGAGGGACAGAGAGGGGGGCGAGGGTGGGGGGATGCGACGGCTTCCCAGCTCCCACCTTCGCCCGCCGAGCTAGAGTCAGCGGCGGGACGCGCGAGGTCGGTCGGTCGCTCCTCCCGCCGCGAAGCTGCTCCCTCACTGAGGAGCCTGCCGCATTGACTTGCCTACTGCTGCTGCTGCTGCTGCTGCTGCTGTCCCCAGGGGGGTGGCGGTGCCTACTGCTCCCCAGCCGGGGAGGGAAGCAGCCATTTCGGCCCCCGTCCACCACTTTTTGCCAGGAGCACCAGGCTGAGCGGGAGCCGCGCTAGTCCTTCGCGGAGCACTGCAGCCGCCGAGCCGGGGGGAGAAAAGGCGCGCGCGGGCTTAGCCGCGCAGTAACTTCCTCAGGTCGAGCGGCGGGCGTCGCTGCTACAAGTGCAAGAGGCAACCCCAGGAGCAGCGGCGGCGGCGGCGGCGGCAGCATCTCCGCTCACTGCAGTAGCTTTGCAAGGAGCTGGGCGCCGCCTTGACGTTGGCGGTGGCGGCTCCGTCCTCCAGCCAATGGGGGCAGCCACGAAAGGAGGCTGCCTGCTCAGCAGCGCTAGTTTCTCGCGTCCCCCCCCCTCCTCTCCCTCCCCCAGTTCCTTGCTCCCTCCGTTTCTTTCAGCTATCATCCCAAGTTCACCTTGAAACGATTGAGAGAGAGAGAGAGAGAGAGAGAGAGAGAAAGCCCTGTTGGAAAGGCGGTGGAGAAATGCTTGGAGGGACAGCTTATCATTTTAAAGCACAGGAAAAGTTTGGGGGAGAGATTGTTTTCACACCGGATGCTTCCCGTCATCGCTTCTCGGGCGCCTGCCTGGAATTACCTTCGTTCGTCTCATTAAAAAATAAAAATAAAACGTGCCAGCCGCAAGACGGGAAGAGAGAGGCCCCGCTACCCGGCTGTGCCAAGACAGGAAGGAGCCTTTTTGAACAGAACGCCGTTGTTTCCCCCGTTTCTGAACAAGTTACGGAATTGCCGCACTAACCTCTCGTTTCTCCTAGGTATTTTCTGGCAAGGACATCCAGAATGTGCGGGCAGATCAGTCATCGTAGTTGGGGTGTCATTTGACATCTACATCGCTGACTCCCCCCCCCCCCACCCTATCTCAGTCTTTCTCCCCGCTAACTCTTTCGCTCTCCCCAAATATAACAGAAGTTGTAACAAAAATTGCAAGGTTTGTTTCCTCCCTGTATGTGGGACCTACTCTGAAGTGAGTCATGACATTGTGAGTCACAACGTATTGGGAAGTAAGTCGCTGGCACTTCATTGTTTAATCCTTCTATCACGAATTTCTTAACACTGAAATAATCCCATTATTGTAATATCAGTATCTTACTGTTTGTAACAGTAAAGGATGCTGTTGTTTGCCCTTAAACTTACCAGGATTCATGAGTTTAGCTAAGATTGCATAAAGGAGCTGTCTTTTAAAAAAGGAATAGTTCAGAAACTGTTCCCTAAATCAAGGGTCTCCGAACTTGGCAAGTTCAAGACTTGTGAACTTCAGCTCTCAGAATTCCTGAGCTAACATGACTGGAGGAGGAATTCTGGGAGTTGAAGTCCACAAGTCTTAAAGCTGTCAAGTTTGAAGACCCTGGCCCTAAATCTTTCACATCTCTGTTTCCCCTCTCCAGAATATTGAACTTTTTAAAAAAATGCAGAATACATAGTTGATGAACTCCTTCCTATGCATGCATGCATATACACCCAGAAAAAGTTCCCCATCTTGGTAAATTATAAGCTAGGCAAAGGTGAGATGTAGCATCAGTTCTAAAATAGCATTTTGGTCCTGTTAAATTCTGGAATTCTGGTGCAAAAGTAAATTATCTGCAGTTCTCTTTGAGGCTTGGGTATTCTGAAGGTGAACCAAGAAGACTGTGCTGGTGTAAAGGACCCCTGAAAACAAAGGCAGGGGTAGGTAACAAAGCACAAAGAAATATGGTTAAAACTTTGAAGATATGACACTATCTTCAAGGAAATATGAAAAAGAAATAAAGTATGAACCCATGATTATAGAGTGGCAAAAATTATTTATTGGTTACATTTATTTTCTGCCCATCTTGCCAAGGGACAGCTTACAACAACAGTAAACATGAGAAATGAAAAGAAGAGTAAATAGAACAGTATGAAAGTAACGAAATGACAAACAATGGAATAAATAATGAAGGTATGAGATTCAAAATGGGCAGGGGGGGAAGCAAGAAGCACAGGAGCAAGGTGAGGTTTGCTATTGGGTCTAGTCTCTAGTGGCTACCTCCAGTGTAGTACTCCCCCATTGGGTCCCCCATATCTTTTACATGTACCATGAAATAAGTATATGGAGCAGTGCATTGGAAATCAGCCTTTACAGTAGATGTAAAATCTATCTGAGCTGAAAATGTTTACTTGAAAATCTGTACCATTTAGTTCAGTGGGACAGTTAGCCTACTTGGGATTGCCATCTGATCTGGCAATATGGGCTGGCCTTTAAGAGTATTTGGAAGCTGCAGCTGGCACAGAATGCAGCAATGCAGACATTTCTAGGGGCCCTTAGGGTGGTCCATGTAACACCATTGTTGTGCAAGCTGCACTGGTTGCCAGTTTGCTTCTCAAGCCAATTCAAGGTTCTGGTTATTACTTTAAAGCCCTTTATGGCATGGGTTCAAACTAGGAACCCATCTCACCCCAATGGGATTGGCTTGCCTCACTCCCTATGGAAAAGGGGGGCATGCTGCAGATCCTGTCAGCCAAATAATTTCAGCCAGCATGGTCCAGGAGAAGAGCCTTTTTGGCTGTGGTTCCTGCTCCCTGGAACATTGTGCTCCTTGAGGACAGATCTGCCATCGTCCTCTTGGCCTTCCAAAAGGGCCTGAAAAGCTGGCTCTGCCCATTGGCCTGGGTGGGGAGTCCCACTTTGGAGGAAAGAAGAGCCCACTTGCATCCCATTTATGTAGTGGTTCCTTCTTATCTAGTTTTTTTTTTAAAAAAGACTTGTAAAGTTCAACGTTGGATTCACATACTGACCCTTAAGCAAACTTACTTTAGCCTAGCATGAATGCAACCTCAACCCTGATGATTGGTTGGTTTATAATTCAGGATGCCATGTGAATTCAAACAACTTGGGTAAACTGAGTAATCCATAATTTCCAGTTCAGCTTGCTCAAGCAATTACATCTTTCACTGGGTCACCAATGAAAACAGCCTCCCTCACTGAAATGTGTGTTTTATTATCACGTGACCAACTCAGTGAATGAGATTTATGAGCTTTAGTCCAACTCTTCCCTCAGAAAATGTCAATTGTGATATCATGCTGTTTTGAATGAAGAAATTATATATTTATGTTCACATCTAGATGATTGCTGATTTTAGTAGGGCCCTCTCACTCATTAGTGTCCATACCAACCACTTCTCTAGAATTTCAGGCAGTGTCTGAAGATGCCAGAGATGGTGCCTAGGACCTTTGCAGGGAAGCGTATGTGCCATTACTGAGCTATAGCCTTTGTCTCTTTACCCCAAACAAAAGGTATTATGTAATACATTGTTGTGCTATTTGACCAATTTAAAATATCACACACATACACAATCAATTAATCAATATAAGACCCCAAAGAACAAAGACAAAAGCAGATTATTACCTTTATTGTCAGAGTACAACATGTGTACAATGAGATTGGCTGAGCCTCCCTTTGTGCAATCCCCCCTCCAACATAACTCACAGTGAGGACAGAAGTCCCTAACCCAGACCCAATCTTATTACACTATGTGACCTTGTTGCACAACAAGCTGCCCCGCAAATGATGCATCTGATAACTAAATTCATCAACCTAATCCTTGACTGGATTAGATTTGCCAAATGGCATAACATGAGATAAATGTCAGCTTTACTGTCTGGGAAATTAGATTGAGGAAAACTGTGTATTTTGTCTGTAAATTATATCTATTTGTTCATTTGTGCTCTTTTAATTAACCATTAACTAATCTAACTAAAATGTAAAGCTTTGTCCCCATATTTTTTCTTCTTCTAGGAAGCATTTAAGTAATATTTAACAGATGAATTTGATCTTAATATCATTCTTTACAAAAGATTGATGCCTTATAATAAAATGTGTTAGCCTTGTAAAATGCTATAATTCTTATCATCTGCTAGAAAATTTGAGATTGTCTGATAACAGTATAATCCACAGCTGGAAGTAATCAGAATAAAGAGGCTATTTAGGGAAGCTTTCAGTTGTCTGTGTGGTTTTGCACTGCTTTTTTCTTAGAAGCAGAGGCTGTGCTCATGCAAATGAACTGGTTAACTACTTTTTAGCTTAGTGTGTTGTGGAACCCCAGCCTTCATAGTTAATTTGGGTTTAAGGTTATGATTATATTATGATCAAGGTTATGATTGGTTAGTTTATGGCATATACAAACCTAGATCATTCAGTAAAATAAAGTACATAGTAACTCGCTCAGCTGAGTAAGAACAGAACTCCCATTTTGTAAGAGTTAGACTAGTTGCCATGTGCTTCTAGCCCCAGTTCCAAGAATCATTCATTAATAATACAGCCATACATGGTTTGAGTCTCTGCTACCTTCAAAATGAAGGCTTTTCTGTAGGGATCCCTGATCTGTGGGGCATCCTTCCCAAGGCAATATGGTAGGCCTGCAACCTTTTAGCCTTCTGAAAAGCCATCTGGACTTGGCTCTTCCCTCAGGCAATGGGGGAGTGAGATGGGAACCTGCCTATGGATGATATGTTGGGAAATATCCCAGTTGGTTGGCTGAGGTTACTGGGTTTTTGTTTTTAGTTTTATGGTCTTTACTGTTGGGGATAAGTAATATTGTTATCATCTGCCTAGAATTGTGCTCTGAGATGGGTGGCCATACAAATCAAGACAAATCAATAAACATTTTCTTGAGGTAGAAACATCTCACCTGTGGTGAAGTGTCGTACATATTCCCAGGAGGGAGGGAATGCATT